ATCCCCCTACGTTGTGCGGATGGCTGGAGATTCCCCACCCACGTAAAGTGCGCATTATTTTCAGATTAAACCGAAATTGGAATCTGGTAGAGACGGTACTTTCCAAATAAATTTACGTGATTGAACATATTCTGACGCGCGAAGAATTATCTGTCAAAATCTGCGCGTTCCAAGTCGTGTTTGCCTTCGAATGAGCTAGTTTCAGGCCTCAGTGTACTCGGTTGTTTTCTGTGTTCAGTGGCTGCATTCTTCTCCTTCTTCTTCTCCAGGTGACTGATGTTTCCGTGATAAGGAATAAGTCGGTAAGCAATGCCGCGGTTGAAAGTAATGTTTGTCAGGCGCCAGTCTTCTGGCGCGTGATTGTGAAAGTAATTATTTGTTTCACTTTCCTTCGAGAAAAAAAAGTTGTTGACTGACGCCTGAGGGTGTTCAGTGACCTTCTGCAAGTAGCACGCAGTGGTCATTACGTAGCATTTCTTGCTAATGAAATACAAACAGAGCTGACGAATAAAGAAAATGGCGTCATTGTAGAGAAGTGTTTGTGTAAGAAGTTTTGGGGTAGATTTTACAAGTTTACGCCAATTCCGTGTTTGGAGGGCGGCATAAGCTGTGATACGAATAACCAGTCGATCTTTGTAATGGTGAAGTGTAGTGTTTTCTTCGCGGTTAACCCTTTGAAGCCGAAGCTCGTATAAATATTACGTAAGAACTCAGTCCGTACCGCGAAGAAAACACTACACTTCACCATTACAAAGATCAACTGGGTAACCCTTTGAAGCCGAAGCTCGTATAAATATTACGTAAGAACTCAGTCCGTACCGCGAAGAAAACACTACACTTCACCATTACAAAGATCAACTGGGTAACCCTTTGAAGCCGAAGCTCGTATAAATATTACGTAAGAACTCAGTCCGTACCGCGAAGAAAACACTACACTTCACCATTACAAAGATCAACTGGGTAACCCTTTGAAGCCGAAGCTCGTATAAATATTACGTAAGAACTCAGTCCGTACCGCGAAGAAAACACTACACTTCACCATTACAAAGATCAACTGGGTAACCCTTTGAAGCCGAAGCTCGTATAAATATTACGTAAGAATTCAGTCCGAACCGCGAAGAAAACACAAGACTTCACCATTACAAAGATCGACTGGTTAACCCCTATGGCGCGTACCTTTTCTGAATTAAGGTCGAAAACGAAAATTCCGAATACATTTTGGCGAGATGCCTCAGACAGGGTCACTGCAAGGCCTCTTCGTATACCAGACGTCAGGTTTCCTGTTGGTTATGCAACCAAACCACACAGATTTCTGTCACATCGATGCACTGCGCTTGCGCATTGCAGACTTCACCTGCAGTGAGTGATAGGTCAGGAATGTCATTGTATGCGGAAGTAGTATCAAGGTCGTGTGCCAAGTGCGTGAGTACCTGCAACGAGTCACGTGACTGCCGTAAATGGGAGTCCCTGGAAGGTAAAAAAAAAATATTTTCGTGAAGTATTCTCCGGAAGAATGAATAAATGGAAAGACAAGTTCCCTGAAGAACGTCTAGACGCCTACAGGGGTGGGGAAAATGCAGTTAAGTCCGGGCCGCGGCGGGTATAATCGAAAGGAATGAGTAAATACGAGTTAGACGTTCATCTGGGGCGCTTGTCCGAGAGGCTGGCAGATGTTAATTTGCTTTGGCGTCGAGGCGTTTTTGATCTGCGACTTACGACCTTGTTCTCGTTGTTTGCAGTGGACCGGAAGGAGGAAGTGGCCGTGATTCGCTCCAAGTTCCCCAACAAGGTCCCGGTAAGTACACGAACTCCATGTACAGGGTGTACCATATATGTAGACACAATTGTTAGCGGTATAGCGAGTGTGCCATGAGTGACACAGATTGCACCACAAACACAAATTAAATGGAGATAATGAATACGTAAGAGTTGGGAAGGAGACGGCGGGCCCAGGCTCGGGTCCGATGGTTCCGGGGTCAAAGCGGCCGGTGCGTGACCCTGACTACCCACCTGCATCTGGCTGCCTCCTCTCCCATGCAGATCGTGATGTCGCGGTTCTCAGTTAATTACAAGCGGAAACGTCGGTTTTCACGGCAGCGTTTAACTAATTAATCTGTCGAGTAGTTGTGGAGGCGAAACATCCGGATGTAGATCGCCCGGCCTTGGGAGGCCGCCGCAGTTTGATTGCACTGCATGTTGATCTCTGTAGCGAAGGTCGTGGGAGCGAGTACAGGCTTGTGACCTTCGATTGTGGCGTCAGTGGTTCGACAACTTGTCAGGGCTGTAAGCCTCCGGTACAGGAATTTTTTTTTGGAGAGACCTCTCAGTAGTGCCATGTTGTCTCACACCGGGCTCAGGAGGTATTTTCCTGCAATTTGTCAATTGTTTTTGTAAAATCACTCAATATTAGCTCTGAATTACATAAAATTAAAATTTGTCCATGTACGATACACGTGGGTTTCATACGAGGCGATCGAGTGTAGCTCTGGCGGCTTGCACGCTGGTCGGTCGATTTTCGAACCCTGGACTGGGGCAACGGTTTTTTTTTACTAATTCAACATTAGCTCTGAATCACAGAAATTGTGAAAGCAAATATATATAATTTTTGCGTTAGACTTTGAACTTGCGACCTGATGATGGAGGCATTATGTTTGTCTGAAATATTTTGTGCTATGTATTCTTAAAAAATATACAGCCTTGTGGGTATTAATTTTGTAATTTTGTGAGTGAGATAACTTTGCGTCGCTTGTACCGAATCGAGTTTTCATCGTCCACTGTGTCATATATAATCGATTGTTCGATTACGTAACATGGCGGTCGGGCTTCTGTACCTGCCAACCTGTGTTTTATGTTGCGTCGTCAATGCTACTTCCGCGATGCCTAAGTTTCCCCCTCTGACCTAATTCAGAGTCCTGGTCCATGTCTCAGTATCACCCCTTAGTCACGTGGTGCATCTGTGGATTAACACCATTCCCTGCTTCTTACGCCCGAGTTACCTCGTTTAAGAGTACATGACGTTAAGAGGGCTAACACCAAGGTATTTAGTATTTCAGACGATACACGTCCCGCGTACCGTTGTGGCTATTAAGAAATCACAAACATTTGTTACTATGGAAATATACTGACAGAAGAAAGATGTTAAAAAATACTTTTAGGTCATCTAACGTATCTTCGGTGCAATCCGTGTGGCCTCTGAGCTTCGACCTTTCAGCAAAGACCTGCCAATAGCCATGGAAAGAGAGGTTTATTTTTGAAACGTATCTGTCTCGCTGTTCAATTTTTTCTTTCTTTTCAAAAACTGCCGGTGTAATGGTTCCATTGTTAGACGTGGCCTTCGCTGTTGTACCAACGGCCGATGTGGGCGTAATATAAACGCAACAGAATTCAGCATTGGATTCTTGTAAGTTAAATATATTGTTAATGGCCAGACATGTGTTTAAATCAAGCTGTTTCAATTCAACAGAATTGAACATTTTTAGTAGTCATAAAATTTGAATCAGTGATATCTTCCGAGGCTTCGCTGTTTTATTTTGTTACCTTGGCAAGGGCTCGTTTCTTCCTTCGTTAACACTTCGAGGCCATCGGTTTATTTTTACGAAATGACATGTCACGAGGGAACAGGGTTGCTTTGTCGTAAGGGAAATTTGGCTCACGAGACCATCTTGTGAGTTTGTCCGTTAACTCCTCTGTCTGCTGGTAGCAGTCAGCGCACATCTGCACATATTTCATTAACCTCAAAACAGATCAAAGACGAGCACAGCTAAATGTAAGGCCCCGATAGCAATTTTTCATATTCTGCCAACAGCCACAAAAATGGCGACCTCCCTAAAAACGTTCCAGCTCATTGTTGTACTGACGTGGTAAATTTCGTTAAGACAGGGAAGTTTATTGACGTATGCGCCACGTAAACGGTGGGTGCGTTCAGTACTTATTTCTTTCTTCAGGATTAAGTCGTATCTGATGTGGCTGGAAGGTCCAGATTCTTCCAACACGTCCTCCCCTGTCAGCCCAGCTTCCTACTCAAGACTTGATAACAAGGACACAAAACAAGGCCTCACGAACTCGATCAGTTATGCTTTATTTTTCACCCACAAGATTATACGAGCGTGTGTCATGTAATTTTCCACGAAAACAAGAATATTTGTTTACGTTGAGGGCAAGGGACAATGAGGCAAGATAAAAAATATATTTACACGAGAGATAGAAGTGGCAAACTTGGAGACATGCCCCCTGTTGCTAAGCAACTTCGACGGGCTTCTGGATCCTTGGCACGCTTTCCCCCCTGCCAACAATGAACAGCACAATAATAGATTTGATTTGAAGATGACTGCAGTTGAAGCAGTGCCAGGAACGGCCGTAAACACTGTGTTCAAGGTCGCGTCTTCTGACGGCGGATGCGGAGACCCTGAGCTACATTAACAGGGCCCCGAGCTCCTCTTTGTGCCGGCCCAATTACAACGAAACGAAGGCAAAATGTGCCATGGGCGAGTGGAGGTGTAGCTCCACGCATTCTTAACCTTGGTACGAAATGGAAGGAAGCGATCACCGGGGAAAGAACTGCAGACCCCAGAGCCCGTCTGGACACATTAATGGCCTCTGAGCGGAATCCATCCACGGTCGTCCATCCTGTATCCAAATCGTGATCGTACTGACTGAGGCGTGGGGCGAGGAATTGAAAAAACAATGGAAAGTACTAATTGTTCGGTCGAATGTCGGTAAGAGTAGAATATAGAAGAGAAAATGAAATAGAGGGAAGGAGGAGATAGCAGATTAAATTATCAGAGGCAACATTGAAGATGTCTGTCTTCTGGGATGAATGGTCGCCTTGGTGATGGAGGCAGCAGACATATCCGAAACGTCGTTCGCTTTCTGTCAGACTGTACGGCGCAAAATTCCACGAGACATCATCGTACTCGTAGCCGTGGGAACCTGAAATCTCACACAAGAGGAGCGTTAATTTGTTTTCTTTGCATTTCTGTCGTAACTGAGCAGTCACGACACCGAGTAAGGTAACTGTACTCCAGTCTGCAGAGTATCAAGCGAAGTAACAGGATCAGGAATGAAATGCGACACAGCCGGTAGCAATGCCCCCAAGACTCTGAAGCCGAAGCTCGTCTAAATATTATTTAATAATCCAGTCCGTACCGCGGAGAAAACACTATACTTCACCATTACAAAGATCGACTGGTTAATCCTTTGAAGCCGAAGCTCGTATAAATATTACGTAAGAATTCCGCCCGAACCGCGAAGAAAACACTACACTTCACCATTACAAAGATCGACTGGTTAATCCTTTGAAGCCGAAGCTCGTATAAATATTACGTAAGAATTCCGCCCGAACCGCGAAGAAAACACTACACTTCACCATTACAAAGATCGACTGGTTAATCCTTTGAAGCCGAAGCTCGTATAAATATTACGTAAGAATTCCGCCCGAACCGCGAAGAAAACACTACACTTCACCATTACAAAGATCGACTGGTTAACGCTGTTTTAAGAAATAATCACGCGAAACATATAAATAGAAAAAATGACGTTACTGATTGTTAGGTATAATTACCAGAGGTCATTAAATGGTTAATTGCCTCAGTAAAGATGACTAACGGAGTAGGTTCCCACCTGTGAGTCTCAGAACGTCGTGAGAGGATTTTATAAAAATCTTTCAAAGCAACCCCCGTGGAAATAAGTAGCGTGAAGTGGACTCTCATTGCGCCACACTCACATTTTAAAAGGCTTTTGTGGACACGGTGATGAAACAGGTTTATTCTAAGCAGTCGCTGTCTTTAGCAGAACCGCTCGCATTGTGTTTTCAGAAGGGGCTTGTGAGGTCAAAATTTTGCGTAATCAGTGTTCTAGTAGTTTTCATGTCTGTGCGTTGTTTCGTGAAAATCTCCCGGTTGATTAGAAGGTTACTCGTTATTGAGCAAGGAAAGAGTTGCGAACTCGCTAACTTTCCAGTTCCCAAGCCAAGTTATTGGAAGACAACGCGGCTGCTTGAGAGATAGGTTGGCCGTCTGACAAATGCCAATTGCGGAACTCAATGTTGAAATTAATAGTTCAGTTCTGGCTCGTGGTTTGACGACAACTCCGCACTAGGTCTGGTACCTACCTAACCTGGCGCACGGTAAAATGCAGCATCGGTGGTCCCTCTATGTCTATTTGTGGCCTTCTGCACGCTTCTCCTCCATATTGCAAGGTTTAGTAACTTAAAATATGTCTGCGCCTTTCACAGTCTGTAAAGCTGTCTGCTCAGACTGTGTTATCATTTCAGGTCATTGTGCACAGATTCTATAAGGAGACGAATCTGCCCCAACTGGATAAAAGCAAGTTCCTGGTTCCCCAGGAAATCACCATGTCGCAGTTCGTGACCATCATCAGGTGGGTGATATGTAACAAGGCTATAATGAATAGCAAATGTACTGTTTCTTTCGAGATTTTCCTCAGGCCATCCAGGCAAATGACGATGCAGTACCTTAAATTAGGCCACGGCCGCTTCCTTCCGTATAATTTTAATTTTATTAATTCATTAATCCTGTCGTTCGAGGTCCGAGCTACTGAAAGCGACTTTAAATAAATCATATTAAGTACGACAGGTTATATTCTCGTCCAAGGGCCTAATTACGAATACTTTAGACGCCAATTTGATCTCTCAAACACAGGAATGCATTCTGCTTGGATAAATAATAGATATTTCCCAAGGAATGCGTTTATTGTCCAAATAGAGTAGATTCCGCTTAATTTGGCCAAAGTATTCCAGTCACTGTATATAGTGTTTAAATTATGTAACAAACTCGAAGGCCATAGAATAAGATATCAAAGGCCTGGGGTTGGCTACATGCATTCTAAGCTTTAAGAAATGAAAGCTAGATAAGATTACGAAGGTCGTGGGTTGAATGTGTGTGTTCTGAACGAGGGTCGTGCTGTTTCTGTGTTGAAATAACCACGGCTAACACCAAATAATGTCGTTGGTAAGGTTTGTAGCGTAGGAACTGCTACGTTGACTGCCCTCTGGGATTTCATTGTTGTTTAAGTTCTCCAGTACAGTTTGCGGCTTCTTGCAGACTGGTCCTCGAACTCTGTGCCAAGCCTTGCTGTTTCTCCCTGACTTTGTCTGCCGGAAGAATTTGTAACGAAAACCTCAGCGTCCTTGGGAAATTTTGAAAAGTTGACGCCCATGCCTGTGACCTCTAGAGAGCTGAAACTGTGCCAATGAAATGAAGAATCGACGCTAATAGAAACCTATAGTCCGTTTTGAAGTACTCGTATGTGATTACCCAAACGCGTTCCTTCCTGTTTCGTGTACCTCGTTGACCACCAGGTTCGGGATATGCAAATACGGTGTGTCCCATAAGTCCCAGGCGATAGGAGAACTCTTGTTATTTGGCGAAAAGTAAAGAGGAAACAGTTGTTTGCCAATTGTGTTTCCAACCTCGTCTGCCAACTGTGTCAATAACGTGTGAACTAATGCGATTGAAAATAGTCGGTACATTCATTTTATTCATGGTTTATTTGGCAACACTGAGAAGCTGTGACAATATACGGGTGGGAGGGAAGTAAGTAGGCATTGAGAAATGGTTATAACCTCAATATTTCCAATGTATAGCGATTATTTAATACCTACTTACTTCCCAGCCACCCTGTAGATTGTGCCGAATATGGTGAATAATGAGTTAGAAAGAAGCGGTCGTGGACTAATTTTGAGGCACTAGCCTGCTTGGAGAGACTGAGGAAAACTGTTGTAATAGTTGTTCAAAATTAAATGCACCTAAAAAAAAGTGGTGATTTTTTTTTATTCTTAATAGTGCTTGCTCTAAATATGTGTTTTTTGGTATGTCCCTGAAGCATGCTCAGTCAGCATACGTTAGTAGTTACCTATTAAATTTATGTTTTCACATTGAAGAAAGGTCTGTCCCACCGTCACTTTTAAATAGGCCCGTCTGACCCTAAAGGAGAAGTAATGGCTACTTGTAATCTTGGGTCTTAACCATCTGTAAACTTAATTGTTTTTCACGTTTATTTGCTAATGCAAAATTAAATTTACTGAGACTTTGGCCCTGTCACACAGTGATCAGTGGAGTACAGTTTCAGGCGCACCTGTTTGCCAGTGGAATCGGGCAAACGACATGTTCACACAGCCGTTTCGCTTCCTCTTTGGTTGTAACGTCGGTTGTGTATTACAGGAACCGCATGCAGCTGGGTTCAACACAAGCATTCTACCTCCTCGTGAACAACCGTTCAATACTGAGCTTGTCCAAAACGATGGCAGAAGTGTACAGCGAACACCAGGATGACGACGGATTCCTTCACGTCACGTATGCGTCTCAGGAAGTGTTTGGCTCTGGGGACTCTGGGACAGCAGGGCCCTAGAACTGCTGTGGCTGTATCAGCAGGTGACTTTTGACACATTAATAAATAGTTCCTGTCTGTAAAACTGCAGAAAATTCCACATGTTTCCGTGGCATCTCGTTTCAACACAGACTACTCTAGTACGTAACTGACTGCATCGACCGGAGTCCTCAACTGCTGTAGAGATTTGCCTTTGTTCATAGAATCTGGAGATCAGTTACTGTGCTTTCAAGATCCCGCGAAGTCCATCGGTGGGCTTCGGTAGTGGTTACTTCATTACTTTGTTATCTCCTTTTATTTGAAGATGTCCTCAGTTGAGTCATCGCTCACTGTGACAGAAATACTGAGTTTGATTGTGAGTGACATGATGTGATCTTTGATACAGGGTACAGAAAAGTGTGCACGTGCTCACACACACACACACACTGTGTGGAACTGAGTTCTGTTTCCATGAATTTTGAGTATGTTTTATCCAGATTCTGAATCATGAACCTGCATGTTTTAAATGTTTGTAGTTCCTGGAGAAAAGAAATGGTTTTAAGGGTAGGTCAGTGTGTGTTGTCCTCGTCTCGTCAAGCTGCCGGTTTTATGCCATAATTCAATCGCATTAAATAAGGGGAATTGCATTAGCATGATAAGTGGCCTTACCGTCTGCCAAGAAGCTGTCTGTGGCATCTGGCCACGTCAATGGGCAGCAGTGACTGGGAGAAAAATTTTACTGCGTTTATTGAGTCGGAGGTAATCTAAAACATGGCCTTGGTGTCATTTTGCTGATTTATTTGTTAACATGCGATGTGAGTCCTTTGTCCAGACTTTCATATGTTTTCAGCAACTGTTGTTTGTAAGTTAACTATTGCCAGAGTCTTTCTAGTTCTTTACTCTGAGGAAGTGCTGGGTCATAGGTCAAGTTCCTAATGAATACTGAGGTTGTGGTGACGATGGTGATAAGGATGAGTGCAGAATGGGATGACAGAGGGCAGGTGAACATGAAAGCCACCTGTGGCTGGAATATGATTAAATTCAGGCCTGTGTGTTATGAAACCTACATCTAAGCACCTGAGCTATGTTAACATCTGATATGAAATGCATTTTATATTCTGAAGCGTGTGACAGCAGATGACACAGGCCGCCTGTAATTATGAATGAATAAATAGACAAACTCTCAGTCTGTAAGAAGGAGGAAAATATAAATGAATATTTGATGTGAAGGAAGAATGTTTAATGCTTAATTTGCTTCAATTTATGTTGCACACATAACAATAAATTAATAATTATATTACTTTATGATCCATTTGGATTCATCCGTCTCAGAATAGGGGATGGTGGCAGGCTTTTGTGTTCGCGGTAATGAATGTTCAGGTTACATAAAATTCGAGTAATTTCTCGACCAGCTGAGAATGCTGTTATTAGCTTCTTGATGAGGACTCTACTCCATGGAGTTGTTAATGAGCTAATCTGGCACATAATTTTTATTGTTATATTAAAATCTGTTAGATGTAACCTCAAGTGTACACTCTGTTACCATAGCTATATTTATAAAATATAAAAGGAGGTTTCATGTTAAATTTGTGAGATACTTATAATCTGTCTCCATAGAAAATTTCTTGAATGGTTCGTTAATGTTTGATATGAAAATGAGAGCTGGATATTGATTTCACACAGTAATAATATCACTTTACATTCATAAAATATAAGCATAACAAAAGTTTTACAATTTTCCCAAGAGCTTCTAACACACACATTTTTAAGACCCTGCATGATGTGTTACTGCCGATCCTACTGTCGCTGGGGTGCATGACCGGCCTGTGTCTCTGACTGAGCTCTCAAACCTGGTGAGATTAAAGATATCTGTTGTGTCATTATTCTTATCTGTAAGGTTACATAATGCATTTTCCAAGAACATCCCCTCTTAATATTTTTCCTGCTTCCTAACCTCGCTTGCGTTGCCAGTCGTTTTATCTCTGAAAACTGAAATGTTATGCTGATGTATGCAGGAATTGCATGATTTCCTTGTTACATATTCAAAGTCTTAATTTGTGTTTTACAATATATTTTACTTCTTCTGCAATTCTGCATGAACACGTGTTCCTTCTCAGGAACAACATACAGCTCATTCTGATTCCCCAGCTGTTTGGTACATCTCATTCAAGCTTCAGTGGTAGCACTTTCGATAAACCTCGAAGCAACTCTCTGTTATAAAGGAAGGAGCTTAGAATTATCTTTTTTCTATATTAAAATGACCTTTGTTTGTTTCTTAATAGATCAAACTTTGTAAAAGTGTTCTGGAGTCGCAGAACAGTCGTTCTTGTTTGCAAGTGTATTATGAGGTTTTGTTTCTTTACAAGCTGAAGTTCCCATTTTTAACCAAGAGATCTTGAAAACAAACTTGTTGCTTATGTATTATATTAATTTTGTGTGTGTCTAAATGTAATAAACAATAATAAGAACCTTTAACCTTTTAACTGACAGATGAAAGTTGGTGCAGCACAGTAAACAACACTGAATTATTTTTATTATTCTCGCCATTATAGATAACCAAAGGATGTGACATCACGCATTCTCTACTATATTTTGGCACCCCACGGTGATAAGGTTGTAAATGGAAAATAAGTTAATACTTGTAACTACGTACGTGGCAAATTTATAAAGTCCTATATTTATAGTTTATATATTTGAATTTATAAAGTCCATAAATAACAGGAAATCTGCTAACTTATCACCCTAGTTGTTTAAATTCTTTCCAACCTCCTTAACTAACGCATTGACATTAGTACAGTGCAGTAAACAAATACCGAATTATTATTACTTATCATTGAATCCATATTTTTAAACTCGAAGAAAAGATGTTGTGTGTCTGTCTTTTCTGTTATTTACATCTGTGGTGCCACACACACTGATAAGGCTTTGAAGTGTCAAATAGATTGCTTCATGCATCATACCACACGTGATCCAGCAGACACCACGTAGAGATGATGAAGGAAATTGAGATACCAAAGATACGAGAGGAAACGGTGAACAGCGCACTCCAGCTTCATTCTGTGTTCAAATCTAGCCCATGAGTCCAGCTACTGAGTATTTTCCTAAGTCTCTCTAGACAGATGCTTGGTGTATCTTACGGTACACCACAACCAAGTCTTTCCTTAACCTTTCCATTTTATTCAAAATAACCTTCTCTTTAATTCTAACGAAATATAATTGCAATAAAGCAAGGAAAAAAGTAAATATTGACGTAATATTGGTGGTTTCTGTGTTGCAGCTGGATTGTTGCCAAGAGGTGTGCAGTTCCTCATACAAATATTCCGTGAAGCCTCGGTGACTGACGCAGTGTGGCTGTTTTTCCAGTTGTTGCCAGAGTGAGCCACAGTGTGGGCCAGGAGGACTGGAACTGCTTCGTGGAATTGCCACATGAACAGTGCAAAATGTGTTTTATAATAAAATCATTAAACAGTGGGGGTGGAGCAGAATGAATTTGTGTGTGGTGGGGGTCAGACAGACTTGCAGGATGTGATGTTTCGTCTGGCTACCATCTGAGATATGAAGTTACTGAACCATCATCATATTAAGTCTTATTGAAGACAGTGTTCGTACAAGAGTGTGAAGTTTAAATTACAGTTTAAAGTAAGAATTTTGTCTAACAAATTACAGGCTTACTAGTAATTTCATGGTTGAAATCAGTTATTAAACTTTTATTATTATCATTATTATTAAGATAAGTCTATTCTAAGTACCATACAGATTATTCTTTGGAAGGGAACTTGATCTTTATTGTCTTTAATTTTAATTTTGGCCTCTGAATCATGATATTAAAATACTAGTACCAGATCAGTCACAGTTAGAAAACTGTAGTGTGATGCTTATAAAGGTTCAAATCATATTTAGGCCTTATAGTGCTGGAACAGGTTATATTGATGGGGTAAACGCTCTGTATTTGACATATCTGCCTTGCTGAATTGCTGTGGTAACTATCCCATCACGGCAGATGAAGAAATCAACAGTGCCAACTGTGGTGGGAAATATTTAAAGATTTTTGTAAAAGTAGTACTTTTGAATGTCTGCTGAGATAACGCTTTAAATGGCTTGATGTGGTCCACAGGATTACCATTTGATTTCTGACTCTCTTGCCAAGATCAAGAACGTACGGTGTTTAACCTGCCCAACTATTCATAAAGTCCTTGGAGAATGGCACTGAAAGCTTGTAACAATTTTCTGAACATAACTACACACACAGTCAGAAATTTTTAACTTGTTTCTGTTGAAATTGATGTTGGTACAGTAACTCTTGTGGTCAGTGGTCAAGCAGTGGTGCTTCAGTATGTATGTGGTCGAGCTTGTGTTGCACATTGGCTTTGGACATGGCTTTGAAGAATACCGGTGCTAATGATTGGTTTGTCATAAATTCTGAACTTGGTTCATATTTATTTTGTATGAAACAGAATATAATTCTGAGTCTCACTTCAAACACTACGCCTGCAGAAATGGAAATAAAACGTATTTCTGTATCTGAATATTTCTAGTTGGAAAATAAGAAAATTAAATAATTCTTAGGTGTGCATAAATATGTACTGGAGTTAACTGGCCAATTTTGATATGCTTCTGTTCTTTTGGAAATAAGTGGCAGTAACTCTTGAGGTAATACAAAGTTGGAGCAATGTTTGGTTGATTTACTGTGAGAGTTTATGAAATTGAGCTCTCTCCTTTGAATATTATATAACATGTATAAAGATGTCTTGTTTAAATGTTAATTCAGATATCACATATGATACCAAAGTGGGTTTTATGATATAAATTTCAATGTTTTATTATGCAAGACTGATTTTTTTTACATTAAAACAATTTGAAAGATTATCTGTGTTGATTATGTTTTTTTGTCAACTGAACCTTATTAGTTATTTACAATTATTAGTATATCAAATAACTCATCAATAAAGCAATACACTTAACGCAGTATTCCATTATGTCACTGAATGGTATTTATTTTCATTTAGATGTAACTCAAGTTTTCACTTGATCCTTTTAAAAGGGAGAATTTTGATCAAATATTCTGTGGACTAAACTTCATTAATCTGCAGTGGAGTTTGAACAGTGATGACATCATCAGATCTACATTGCGGATGGGTCGTGCTTACTGTTCTATTTAACCTTTTTGAACTGCTAAATGCATAAATTCTTATTAACAAAGTTTAAGGATTTAATTGAATTACTTATCAATTTCTGCATTCCACATGCTTCATGAGTTCTCATTAGCCAATGAATTATTATCCTTTGAATCAATGAAGCACAGAGGGCAATTAAAGACATTCTAGATTCTTCCAAGATAAGTTTTACATAGCAGTTACAATCTGTAACTGGCATGTCTTCATGTTCTGTATCATTTGATGATTCATCATAAAAGACATTTTAGACTCAATAATATTAAGCACAGAGAGTAGATTATACAGAAGTATTGACATTTTTAAATCCTTAAGACAGCTTCAGTAGTATATATTTTTCACACTTGGGCAAATGCTGAAACAACAGAAGGAAGAAAGTTACACAATCCATAACAGCGATTGTTGCTTTTCAATTAAGTTATACTATTGGCAAAACTGAACTGAATCTAATAAAATTAAGAATGAGACATAAAGGAAACAAGGTGTCAGTTAGGAAAGTTTGAAGGAAGAGATCATTTGGTAGTCCAAAGCACAGATGGGGGTGATAATATTAAAAGGGATATTAAATAGATTGAGAAAATATGATTGGATTCAGCTGGATCAGAATAAGAGCCATTAAAGAACTTCTATAAACACAGTGATAACAACGTGGCAACATAAATTCTTAAGGAGGCCAAGGCTTGACTGTCGCGCCATAGACGAAGGAGAACATATAAATTCTTGACAACCTGAATAACTTACCACAGAATTGTTTTTTAGAGCAGAGTAAAATGACACAATTTGAGCAGCATCCAGTTAATCTGATATCACACATAACGGTATAGAAAATGCAATTTTTCATTGTTATGGAGAGTGCTGTCTGTCTGTTATGTGCCATCTCCAAATACTAACAGAAAGATGTAAATAAAAAATAATTATATTGGGAATTCATATTCAGACCTGTGACGCAAACTGTTTCGTCCATATCAGTCCATTTTAACTCCTACTTTACAAGAAGCCCAAATATGATTTTACCAAATCTATAAATTTATACAAAATGGTTCATTTCATTAAGAACTGGTACATAACATAAAATATGGATCACATTACATTCTACAACTTTTATTTCAGACATCTTTCAATATGGTATTAATGAAATGCAAAGGTTAAAATAATTTCTAACTTCACATATTGTGATTAGCTTCGTTAACAACATTTTCACCTTCATCTGTGATGAATTAATATAGCCAGTATAATGTGCAGAATCACAGAATCATTTTACAAAATAATGGAAGTTTATGTTTTACGAAACTTTATTGTTAATCACAACTGGGTAGTGCCCCATTAGAACCTCTCTAAATAACTATTTTCCAGTACTTATCAATGTTATCTTCACTGCTTTTGAATAATAAGTGTGACCTACAAAAGTGACTTTATTAGAATGTACTTGGAAACGGCTTACACTTTGGACAGCATGATAATGCAGTCATAAACATCACGTGGGAGAGAGACACCTTTCATATGTACTTGGAGACGAAGAAATAAATAACACCACTGTAGACCTGGCCATCAGATCACTGGTTAAAAAACTGTTGATGAATTCTTTGAAATTGAGTCAAGGTTCAAATATGCTACTATAATTAACTTAAGTGCAGATTAAATATGGAATATGTATGCTTTATTTATTTATTTATTCAGTTACATTAATGAGTAAAGAACAAGTTACTTTATTTCTTAAAAACAAAGTAAATAGTACAGTAATTCTAGTACGAGGCTGCACTACATTGTGGCTGAATGTCATTGCTCTAATACCATGTCCTTTTATCTGTGACACCCTTTTCTCTTCTTTCTTATCTCTGATTCATCATTAATCACCACACTTGTCTGATTACAGGGTGATAATAGATATAAGATGACCCCAATAAAAAACCTGAGACATAACACTTTAATAATAGTTGGCTATCAGTTTTTTAGCCAAAAGAATGCCCACTTAATAACAACTCCAATATGTTATTAATCGTAAATTTAACACTATTAATGATGCCTTCAAATTAAATTTTTCTGTGCTGTATTTCAGAACTATTGAACAGTGAACATCAAAATTCTAATTCAAATTAATGGAAAGGCAATCTGTTACCAGACACACCAGGCAAAGTTCACTTTTCTCTAGGTAAAACTCACCACAGAGTTGAAAGTGACAACACACGCTCTGTAACATTAAAATGATAAAATCCAGTTTTGATGTACAGCTTTATCCCACTCAGCACTGAACTGTTACTCCCCCGAAGAAACATTCTGTGCAGCTCCCATTAACATGTCATGAACTTCCTTGGCGAAGCCAACCTGAGATCGAACCGTGGCCAGATACTGAGGGTATGTCAGTGCTGCTCCTTCTTGGTTGGGTAAGGGATCAGTCCGAGTCAGGGCAACAGGCAACGACAGATATCGCTGGCTTGCTGCGCCCTGTGCCAAGCATTCTATTGATGTTTTCTGAAGTAACAAAGCAAAATATTTATTATGGCAGAAAAGTGAATATCATTACAGGATTGAAATTTCAGTATTTGATTGATGGATGGTTTCTTTTTGTTCCTGAGAATGAACTATCACTGTTACTGTTAATACTACGACCAACAACAAAAACAATATGTAACAGCTGGAATTACAAGCAATAAAAGGATTCTGACACAAATGGGACTGGATCATATGAACATCTGCATACAAATCCACAGTGCCAACCTATGATCTACATTGGATTTTATGCTTAGATTACAAACTGACATTAGCTAAATACAACATTAACAACACTAGATTTGTAGGACCAGAAATCCATTTTAATTTTAAGACCAATTTCAAGTACAGGAATAGCATTGAACATACATGTTCAGTCTTTCCAAAATTCTTGGTACAGTACAAAGTGTCAAAGGAGGGAAACAGGAAGTCAACTATAACAAAGGAATAAATGCATTTTGCAATGAAGATAAAACTGTAATTACATGAAGCAGAAACTCACACTTACCAAATGTAATTCAATCTGATCACATATTGAGTAAAATTCTTCCATGTTTCTATCAAAGCGTGGTACAGGAACATCTACACCTTTCCTGCAAAAATTAGAGAGGGAAATTCTTAGATGTGTAAATGTACTAACATGTTGAGAGTAACCCACTGCAAGGGCTACTGCCCTTTGACTGCACTAGTCTGAGACATACAAATGCTGCACAGGAAAGTAATGCAGCTACTGAATGATAATCTTTCTGCATTCTGATATGATGTCATATCTGTCATGTTCTTCCCAATATGTATATATTCAGCTGTGTCATGTGAATTATATTCCTTCTGTGGTCTCTGGTAATTTGAAATACTTACAAAGATCCAACATCAACCAAACTATTTTGGTGAAGTGTCTGTGCTGCTGTTTTCAAGGTCAACTGAAAGCAAACATTCAAATCATTTAAAGCATTGATTCTCTTTCTCATTTACAGCTACAGAGGTCTTCACAATTTGTAAAACCATGCAATTTTTAGGCCCTGTATATTAATGAATAAACTTACTGCAAGTGATTCTCTAAGAGGAGCTATGAGTGACTTTACTTTAGAAATATTGTCAAATTTTTCTTGAGCTTGTTGAATTTGTGGCTGCATTTGCTGAGCTTGTTGGGGTGTGCCAGGCCCTGGTTGTTGAGGGACCTGGGGTATAACCCCTGGTCCCTGCTGTTGCATTGGGGGTATATTCATTATTATCCGAACCTTATCTGATTAACACCATATCCACTTAAGTAAATAAGAATATATGGCACATCCAGAACATAAATAGCACTACCAAGTGAAATTAAAGCAGCAATAATTTACATATATTACTAAACACAAATACAATATCCACCATTATGTTGGCACACTGTTACCAACCGAGTGTAAGATTCATAGCCAGAGATAAATGAAACTTAGGTTTCCAGCAAATTCATGAAAACAAAATTCCCACATACATAATATAACCTCAACCTTTTCATCTGTGCTACACAATTGTTCAGTTACGACATTCACTGTCGTTATTTTGGTTCAGGTGTCGGTGAAGTGTGATTATCGTGTTATTATGTGTAATTAAGTCAAATCTGGAAATAAAATGAATAGGCATGCAGAAATTAAAAGAGATGCGGAGGCTCCCGCAGAATTGGAGAGTCAGTTTATTTTACGGTTACCACCGGTATGTACAGTTACGAACAGTATATGGTCTCAAATTGTTCACTGGGATAACATTATTTCGTAGAAAAGGCCGTTTATTTTAATTCTTTTTCCGTTGCCTTGTACCCACGAAATAAATCCATGGGTGCCGTACTTTGACCAGGCAGGTAATCATTTATTACTCGGGCTCCTCTGAAGAAATCAAATATTTAAATGAAAGATTTTATTTCAGGAACCAGCAAAAGTTTTACGTGAAGCTTTAAGAAGTGGGTCTGTTCATCTGAAGGACAGATTGACCATAAAGCTTGAGAATGATATGCGTTATGGGGAAGTCAGGGTGGACCACTGGCTGATGCATGCAAAGGTAAGGTGCTCATCGACTGGCTACTGAATGTATTTAACACAGAAAAATTTTGGTTCTAATTATTCAACTATGTTTCTTACAGGTTGTTGATGTTCCAACAATAGTTGAATCTTTAAAGACGATAGACAACAAGAGTTTCTATAAGACAGCAGATATATGTCAGGTATGTACAGTGGAACATGGTGAGGAAACGGTTCAGATCATTTTATGTGTATTGTAGTGTTTCTAGACAGTAGCAACAGAATGGCCTTATAAAATTTATGATAACACAAAGATTGAGAAATACTACTTTCCTATTATTTCTTTTTATAGATATTCTTCAGTTTGATAATTCTTAAGGAAACTTGGTGTCTGAGTCTAGAGAAAGAGAAAAAGAAGGTGAAATTTGAGGGTTTCATGCTAACAAGATTGAAACAGTGTATCTACGTGTGTCTTCATTGCATCACAGCCCATAACATTATCATCAGGGAAAGAATGTGTTTTAAAAATAAAATGCTGTTTACTGCATTTATATGCAAGGATGATAAACATAAAACCGAGTTATACATTTTGCAGCTTGGAGTGAGGGACAGAAGGTTATGCTCCTATATTGATTAATCATTAAAGAACATAATTAATGACTTGAGGAGTTAAAGTGATGACCCTAGGTATATTAAAATTGATCTTGTAAAGCAATAGTATGTGAGGCTGTTGGCTGCATTTTTCTGGTTCAGGATGGAATCCAGTGGCAGGCTTTCATGAACACAGTAATGAATGTTTGAGTTTCATAAAAGATAGAGCATGGAGTTAGCATGGATACAGATGATTGAATTTTGTGACAATGGTTGATTACTTATGCCACAATTATATTGAATGTTGTCTCTCCATTGCATGTTCAACCCACATGATGGAATCAATGTGATGGATGATTTAGTAATCTAATTTTAGGTGTATTTATTGTCAGATATATTTTGCTTCTGTGTATTAATGATAATAGTTGTATTACGCTCATGATCCTTCTGTGTTGTTCACTGCAAATGTGGTAGTACAATGATGATCTGAGGATAGGAATAGAACAAATTCACAAAACATTATGTACAAGTAATGTGGCACAGTCATAGACAGTGTCTGACATCTGAAATGTAATGTGTGTAGCTGTTGATATGCAAAGAAGAGGATGACCAGACGACTACAGATGAAGAATCACCTGTAAAAACAAAGAAGAAAGATCCCAACAAAGTGGACAAGAAGTTTCTGTGGCCTCATGGTGTCACATCTCCCCTGAAGAATGTGCGTCGCAGACGGTTTCGTAAGACCTTGAAGAAGAAATATGTTGAGGCTCCTGAGATTGAGAAGGAGGTGAAACGGCTGCTTCGGGTGGACAATGATGCAGTTGGCGTCAAGTGGGAAGTCATCAACGAGGATGATGAGAAAGTGAAGGCTGGAATTATCAAGGAAGAGAACGGAGGCCTTGGCATGGGACAGCATGGAGACATGTCGTTTGAAACCAGCAACCAGCACAGCGTTGATGTTGGTGAGTGAATATTTCATGGGACTGCTCCCCCTCAATCTTTTTTATTTATCATATGTTTCTTTCTTATCTTTCATTACTTGTTTATAAGGTGAACTGTGTATTTGAAGTTACATTGAAGTTGATTACTTATTACATTTTTGCTGATGGAATATGATGCTCATCAGCTGTACAAATTTTGTATGGGAAACATAAAAACCGAAATAATGTGAAGGATGATATTTTTGTTTATTGTTCTGAGTTGAAAGGGGTGGAAAAGTAATACATGAGGAATGAGGTAAGTAGTTAGAGGTACAGAAAGTGTGACAGAATAGAAGGAGGCTAAGGGATGAAGACATGAAAGAAACCATTCTCTGTTGGATTAATAGTCTGAATATTCTCAAATTGTGAGAATAGTCCAAATAGTTACAATCCTTTATGTATGATTATTTATTTTTCTTTTATTCCAAATATTTTGGTCAATCTTGATGATGATCTCATGTTGTTTTCTTTGGAGCTTCTATCTTAATTCATACTTTGCACTCTATTGGTTATCATTGTTGTTTGCTATGACTTTGACTTATAATTTGGTTTCAGCTGAGCATGACATATTTGGTGAGGCAGTTAGTGACTCTGAAGAAGAAGAGACTAACATCAACATTATGGAGCTGGAGGATGAGACGAGTCGTCCGTCTGCCGATGACAGTCGACTGTCAGATTCCATGTCTTTACAGGTATAGTGAATTTTGAGGACTGCAAGAGGAGACTGATTGGTGAAGGTTATTAATAGTTCTGTATGGATGGACCATAAGTCATTACATGATCTGATTCCTTTCCTGCACCTCATGCATGATAATGAATAATTTGTTTATTACATTTTAATACAACGTAGTAAGTTTTACCTGAAGGCAGAGATAGGCTCCTATCTCTGACTTGTAGTGATTTTTATTTATTTTATTTTATTTAATCTTGGACAATGGATAATGTCCAGAAAATAGATTACTTCAACAACACACCATCATCACAAACTTTCAGAATTGAGCTACATTTGAATACATTTGCACTGTGGTTACATTTATAGTCACCACCAGTTTCGATTAGCTTGCCGTTTGAGAATTTCATATAACATGTGGTTTCAGGATGCATCAGACCGACCACATC